GGGAAGACCTGAAATCATACACTTTACACTGTCAGCAAATCTAAATTCGTTAAGATGAAACTCCGTGTTGTTTGCAGTCTGTTTTTAATTCATTATGTTAATGATTATTTTCATTTTTTAACCGAGGATATTAAAATTAACAAAAATATTCAGCTCAGTTCGTTACTTGAATATCAACTACTCTGTTCACTTCAATCGTTAAAAAGCCCAATTTGGCTTGTTAATTCTATTTCACGTTGTTATGTGCCAGACAAAACGGCATAAATTCACATGCAAATGTTATGAAAAATATTATAATATGTAGAGAGAGCAGTGGTTAATAACATTAGGGTGCAGCCTGGAATTGGTACAACGATCTCTATCCCAATTATAAAGCAGTGCTACATGAACCTTTGGTTGGGTTATAATTTAGCCCTCTAGACGATTGTCTTAAAGTACGGATCATTAGTTACTCAACACTTGTAAGTCGTATTGATCTTTATTTTAGGCCTGTAAAATTTCCATATCTGCGTTGACTGGACCACGAAGAGTCAGACAGCCAACTGTTTTTTACTGTTCAGTATTTACATGTGTAAGGTGTGGTGTGGTGTGATATCTGTACACCATCAATTACAGGAATTGTTTGTTTCTTTCAGTGCAAAACCACACATTGAGCTATCTGTTGTGCTATGTCCACTGTGGTGAATCGAACTCTGGATTTTAGCACTGTAGGTCCGTAACCTTTCCTTTGACTTACCGGAGGACGTTAAGGTATAGAAAAGTTTAAAGAAAGAAAGAAACAACACTAGAACTGAAATTGTCTCATAGTAACAAATCAACTTTGACTAAGCAAAAGATAAACACAAAAATGGAATTGACATTTTATTTTGCAGTTTTCAGATGACATTTACTAATGTGTTTGCCCCCCCAGTGACACAGTGGTATGTCTGCGGATGAATTAAATAAGTTTGGGAAAAGGCTGCAAACAAAACGTTGGAAAAATATTGATGATAAGAGTTCAGACATAAATAACAAAAAGTGTAAAAAATAAAAATATTTGTTTTGTAAAATAAGGCTTTAATAATTTA